GGGCTGCTGTTGTGATTTGTTACGATTTTCAAATTTTTCAGGTCATCAGTTAGTTAATTCTGAAGGTCTTGGCTCAACAGGATCCTTCCTTTCTGACTTGAACATGTCCAATGTACTGGATTTCTTGAACAGGACAACTATTCTCTGTCTCACCCTCTTGAGATACTGTAACAGGAGGCATCTAAAACATCTGAATAGGCTAATGCCGGAACATGTGCTCACACATGGTCCTAACATTCCTCTCTCAAAATAAAGTTACAATTGCTTTCTTTTAAGGGGGCTAAAGAAGGTGCTTGGATTGATCGTTACATAAAGTATGACAAAAACTTAACCACAAACTTGGGGTGACCCAGGTTTAGTGCCTTTCTCATGAACCTGAGAAGATTCACACCTCCAGGCCTACCAGATTATTAATGTGATTCTAGAACAAGGCTCCCTTTTCCTCCCCTTGAAGTTATGCAAAAGTATTCATGTTGCTTTTTTTTTTCTCTTAAAAATACTAATAATTGAAGCACCAAGCATCTGAGTAGTAAGTAACAAATCACAGTTATGGAGGATTAACTTAGAAGTTTGTTTTGTTTGATTTTGTTTTTAAATATGCCCTGGCACTAACTACTGTTCTGCTCTCTCCTATAGAATAGCAGTGTTTTCGGTGAGTGTGCTGCACGATGAAAGGATAGTAATTGTTGCTGAGCAAAGGCCAGATTCCACAGAGGAAGACAGTTTTCAGTGGATGAGTAGAGTTCTCCAGGTAATGTTCTCTATGCGCATTTGGAAGCTATTTCATCCTGTCTTCTATTCTTTTTATTGATGTTTGGGTCCCCAATAACCCGTCATTTGTCTTTGAGTATTTGTAAATCCACCTTCAGTTCCACTTGCACCTAATGAACACGAAATTATATTATTCTGACTGATGGTTCTTATTCAGTCTACCTTTTCTACCACCTTTATTCCCATGTGGGAGCATGAAGAGCAGGATGGCTCCAGTTGCTCCTCCAGGCCCCTCTCAGTGCCTATGGTTCAGTAACCTTTTTAAATTTCTGAATTTCTTGAAAAAGGAATCAACACAACCAGCAGTAGTGGATTTTCTGTTACTGAATTTTCAGACTTTCAATATTTTTGTTCTGACTACGCCAGCAAGTCTTGCTGAGCTCTTTACTGAGCTTCCACATTAGGGAGGTTTCCACCAGTGCCTCTACGTACAGACTGGGTTTACTCATGGAGCAGCTACAGCTTCAGCTATTAAAAAAAGTTTCTGATAAAAAAAAAATTCTTAGAAGGGGATCACGAAGTGCCATCCTGAAACATAAGTCCCAGTGAATATCCCAGAGAACACCAACTGCAGCATGTGGTAAATAGTTGTTCATTTTGGCCTGAGATCATCTTTAAGAATGTAATATTACTCTACATATTCCTTTCTGCGTACAAGGGACCAAAGCTCTAATCCAGGAGGATTTTCTCATCACCTTGTGGAGCAGTGCTACAGTCTTCATATGGTATCAGTTCCTCAGTTCATTGTTTTTTGATCACTAAAAAGTATGGTTTCTCTTAATAAATAAATCCTGGACCTGGTATGTGACTTTTTAAAATCAGAGTGGATGAATTCTCCAAAGGAGTTTTGAGTGTACTTGGGTTGACAGTCTCTAGTCAAGTATGAGCATATATGGTCCATGAAAAACATCTAACACAGACTTTAATTCCCCACGTTGGGCTTTCTGGATGCTGCTGTGTTCATTGTCTTGATCTCAGCCTCACAAATTTAGAGGTACATGGCAGATGCCATCCTCTCATTTGAAAAAGGGTGATCCTTTTCCTAAACAAAATGCAGTAAGAAAACAGGGATGAACTGAAGGAATAGCAAGCAAATAGAGTAGGATAGTTTTACAATAATATTAATTGCTTCAAAGAGTAACAAATAAATGGATTTTGTGTTCTTACTGCCAAAGGCTACAGAATTCACTATCAAATAGTTACTGGCACTGATTTGGAGCTGATTAAATGAGAAGTAGATATGCACATTTGAGCTAGTTCTCTGGATTCCTTTTTGATCAGAGGGAGAGAATTAGGAGTTTATAGTGCCCCATGTTGAAGGCTGAAACAAACTGGATGGAGCACATCCTAAAAATACTTATTTCATTCCACTGAACTGAATGGAAGAAATTGATTAGCTCAAATATAGTAATCTACAGTGAAGATATCTGCAGTATTGTAATTCTAGCTATCTGGTGGACCATACAAGGCCTGTGCTACAAAGAATGAAGCCGCTTTGGTTTTGTGGACGTGTTGACCAGAAGCCAGGTGAAGCAGTGCTGAGGAGCCATGGTCTTCATGCCACTAATGATAAAAAAACTTCTTTTGTATTGGATTCCAAGTTAAGGCAAATGTCATGACCTTGCTCAAAGGTTTTTCAACGTAATGCTCACACAAAATATCAGATACTTTGGAGAACAATCATTTTCCATCTCCATAATTAAACCATTTCTTGCTCAAAAGCAACAGGAAAAGAAGTTAGTTTATTGATACCTTGTGAAAAAGTTTCATCTCTTTCTACAGCTGGACACTTGTTAGTTCTGTTTCCCTTGCTTAGTTCCATTTCTGTCTGTCTTCAAGGACTCTTCTCAGGTGAATATATCACAAACATATTTTGCTTTGCCCAAGAGCCAAAAACCTTACACAGTTCAGTGATTCTTTTACTCATTATTTATTATAGTGAATAAGAAAGGAAATCTTTTTCTACTATGTGCCTGAAGAAACTGAACAAATAAGCTTTCATCCATCTCAAGACAGATTTGTCTGTTCCCTTGGTTTAAAAGATACCTACTTTCCATATAGCTAGAGACATCTTGTGTTCACAGTGGATCTGAAAGATGAAACCAATCTTTAGATTGTCCATCCCACAGAAAGCCTTTAAAAGAAGGGCCACGTCTTTTAGAATAAAGGGCTTTTAAATTGCCCATGCTTTGGTGATTTTTTTTTGGGGAGAAAGCAACCCTAAAGAAAAGTTAGAAATTCTGGACTTGCACTTCACTTTTCTCAGCTGAGTATTTTTGTGGCTTCTACTCCAACTGTGTCTTATTTCATTATCAGCAGTAGAATTCAGCACTCAGCACAGTGCGAGTCCCGGCTCCTGTTATTCTGCGTGTGAGCAAGCCACACAAGTGTCTGGGAATGATAGGCCGTACAGCCAAGCACACATATGTGTGGCTGCTTTCAGCATCTGCGTGTGAAGTCTGGCACTCGGCACGTGTCGCTGCCTGAGCAAGAAGCTTCTGGTTCCACTTCAGCTGAGATCTGAGAGGGAGAAGGGAAGCTGAGAACATGCGATGCTTTGTGCCTCCTTCCCGATATGGATTTTCATGACAGATGTCAGGAAGTGGCAATGAGGGTAACTGAATCATCTGCTAGTGATGAGCAACATAGCAGTGTCACACTTCTATCACGATTCTTGGGGTCTGTGGTACCAAACTGTATCAAATTGCTCCTCGTTTCTCATGGTAACTGTGAGACTTCTGTAACGCCCTCTGCATGCAGCTCTGCGCCAGTCCTGCTGCACGCTGCCTGCTCCTGCTGTGCCTTCTGCACCAGCCTGCGTGGTGGCTTTCCAGAGCCAGCCCCCTGGCCAGGGGACAGATGTGCTGCAGAGCAGGGAGCACCCGCCGGGAGAACTTTGCTGCTGGGATGTTTTCTTGGCTTTGACAGCAGGTCTGGACTCTGTAACTAGTTTTCTCAATGAAACAGAGAAATAAAAATTTCAGTTTTACCGTTTACTTCGGGCTGGACAGATTCATTTCACAAATCAAGCCATGTCATCAAGAGGCACGATGCCAGCTGTGGCAAAAGTCAACTGGTATCCTTTGTCTCAAAACTTTAAGGCTCATTTCATCAGTACTCATCCTTGTAAAATAAAGTTTTTTGCCTGCTTCAGAAATGTGTTGGATTTCAAAATCTGAAAGGTGACAATTTTGAATGACCCGCAACATTTTTTTTCAGACATTGTGCTACGAAGGTGTCTATCAAAGTAGAAAGTGCTCAGTCTCTGTGGGATTGTTACATATAATACCCATCATCCCAGCAGAATTGGATACTATTTTCCATTCTCTGACTCTAGGAGCCACACTGTTACATATTTGAATAAGAAGGGATGGTTAGTTGCCCTCTGACAGCTTTTTCTTAAAGCTGGTATTAGGTGAGAATCCCGTAATTTACCACTGCTTTTCAGACCCTACAGATAACATTAAGATTATGAGATTGTGATGTCTCTGCACTTTATATTTCTGCCAGCAATTTAAGACAGCGTTTGTTGGCTCTCGTCTATACATCTCATCCCAAGATTTTTCTCGTTCATATACAAGGTGCACATAGACCACCAGTGAGGTCTTCCACTGCTACCCTGAGATCTCACACTACTAAAACTGCAATATTTGTAAAATGATTAACGGACTTGCTGTTTTATCTTACCAAAATTTACAATCAAATAAGTAAAAATGAAGCAAACAGAATCCAAAAGGAGAGCATTATTTGGAATCTCCATTGAAGTAATCAGTAATTTAATGGTTTACTCAAGTTAATTACTATAAATGATTGATGCTTTGTCTAAGGATATAGGTTATATCTTTGCAGCAGCAGATGTGTGTGTGTGTGCTTTTTCACTGTTAAAATTCAAATGCAGACTAAATGAATTATATTTTTCAGACATATTCTAACTTGTTTTTCTGAAGTTGTTTTCTTTTCTTAGCTGACTTGCTGCAATTTTTCTTACCAGTGTAAGAGTGATGGATGTATGGTGATGACTATGAAATATTTGAAGTTTTTTCTTAGCTCTTGAATCTTAACTGGCTGTTAAGTTGGTGGGATTCCTTTGCATTCTAATTCTGGGAAGTGCACAAGTAAAAATCAGTTTCCCCCTGTGAATTACCAGCTCATCTGAGTCATAAATCTCCAGGATGCCTACTGCTAGTGAGTGCCTGAGGAATGCATGTGCAGCATTTCTTGTAGGTTTTTGTGTATTCATCACTAGGTTTTTGATTGTTTTATAGCTTCTGCAGTGATTATCATGATGTCAGTATTATATTTCCATCCACCTGTTCCCATTGAAAAAAAAAAAACCTCCTTATCTTTGGCATTGTTGAAGTACGTTGAGTACTAGCTACAAATCTTTGTACTGTCAGTTAATTATTAGGGGTGTTTTGTGCAGTAATTCAGAACAAGAAGTGTTTATTTTAATGATGAAAAATTAGCCATTCATTAAAATCAGCTTCCTGCTTTTTTTTAGGCTATTGACAGTATTCATCAAGTGGGAGTTTACTGCTTAGCACTCGTACCAGCAAACACTCTGCCCAAGACTCCACTGGGAGGAATCCACTTGTCGGAAACCAAACAACTTTTCTTGGAAGGATCCCTGCATCCCTGTAACGTGCTGATGTGTCCCCACACGTGTGTAACAAACCTGCCTAAACCCAGGCAAAAGCAGCCAGGTGAGATAAACAACTGCAAAGGAGCTGTGGCTTAATACTCGCTGCTCATTATGTGTGGAGGAAAATCAAGTAACTGCTAATGGAACTTGATGGAACTTGATTAGCTGATCCTGCTAAATGTTCTGTGTGGTTTAAGTGTGTCATTTGTATTGAGGGAAGCTGGAAGTAGCTTTACAAAGAATACAAAGAAAAAATGCTCAAAAAAACCTCTCCAAGTTCTGTAAACATGAAGATACTTTAATCACTGTGGAAGGCATCACTGAGACGGTACCTGGAGTTCTTTGTAAATTCCTGGTCAATTGTGTTCTCATAGAATGAACTCAGACTGAAGAAGAGAGCGTTACAATCTTGTCTTATTTGACTTGACTTTGTAAAATAGAAGTAGAGAGGAAGAGAACCCTTGCTACAAATTAACAGGTTGGATGAGAAGCAAGTAGTTAAAAACTGGCTGTGAATGTATTGAAACAAAGAACTAGGATAACAGTTTTGACCAGAGGAGGGAATTTGTGAGTTATCCTTGCAGAAGCTGTAGCTGAGGGCAGCACCCTAGCTAATTTTAATATGGTTCTTCTGCAGTTCTGCAGGATAATATGAAGAGAATGGTATGAAATGGTACAGCAAGGTACTGC